CCACCCCCCCCCCCCCCACCGGGCCTGCCTCCGACCTGCCTTTGCCTTGCAGGTGGCCACGTTCGTGGGGCCAGTCACTGCTATCCCGGTCCTGCTCTTCTCAGGCTTCTTCGTCAGCTTCAAGACCATCCCCACATACCTGCAGTGGACGTCGTATGTCTCCTATGTCAGGTGCGGGTTCGCAGCAGTGATGGGTGATTGCCCCCATCCTGGACCCCGCGAATGCGCCCTGAGACGTCCCTCTGAGCAGGCTTAGCCAGGTTCAGACCTGGCCTTGGGGCTTGAGGGGACATTTAGCTCCCTCCCCTCGCTTTCCCCTGCCTTCCAAGGAACCCCCGCTCCCTCCACTAGACCATGACACCCTGCTCCAGGGATGCTCTGGCTGCAAGACAGGTAAGGAGTCTGGAAGGATGGCGCCCCCTTGTGGCTGCAGAGGAGTTGCGGGGACCTGTCTCAGGATGGAGACGGTCCTCTTAGGGGAGATGTTTTTAGGAGGATCCGTCTGGCTGCTGGCCACGCAACAGTGCCAGTGCTGCAGGAAGCCAGGCTGACCAGCACCCCTGCAGTCTGGCTCCTTGGTGCCCAGTTCACTCCCGGCCAGCTCCCTAGCGTGCCATGAGGCTGGTGCCACACTTGGCTGGTGCAGCAGAATTGGGGTCACCCATGGTTGGCTCCCTGCTGCAGAGTATTCCAGAGGCTGAGCCAGGGCCATGGGCGCTGAGCAACAGCCACCCAGTGCGTGTGCAAACCAGGGGTGTGGCTGGCACTCATGTTGCTTGTCTGGTGCAGGTACGGCTTCGAGGGTGTCATCCTCACCATCTACGCCATGGAGCGTGAGGACCTGGAGTGCCGGGAGTCTCCCTGCCCCTTCCAGAATCCCATCAGGATCCTCCAGGAGTTGGACGTGGAAGAGGCTAAACTATACCTGGACTTCATCATCCTGGGCATCTTCTTCCTCGTTCTGCGGCTCCTGGCCTACCTGGTCCTCCGGTACAAGGTGAAGTCTGAGAGATAAGGGGGCCGTCGGGGCCCGATGCCTTTCCCAGACCTGATCTGCCATGGCATGGACATTCCCAAAGGGGCTCTCCGTCTCTGTGGAGGTGAGACCAAAGGGGAGGCATTGGGTAGGTGGCGCTCAGTCCTGGCTCAGTCGAGAAGGGTTTTTTGGGACATCTCGGAACTGTTTTAACCTTTCCACACTCTTCATCGCAAATGTTTTGTACCGTCCCGGAATGCCTCCTCCTCTCTCCTGGAGCTGCAATGTCCTACGGATCTTGGATTCCTTCTTCCGCCCTCTGTCCCACCCCCCCACCTCAGGACACACCCGCTGTCCTGCAAGGCAGCTGTCTTCCAAGCCAGACAAGGAGAGAGCCGTCCACCAAGGCTTTGCCATTTGGGGGAGAGGATTGCATCTGTCTGAACCCCACTGACCTCCCGCAAAGCACAGTTTTGCAGCGCAATGTGCAGTGCAGTTTTTTAATGTGCCTGCTAGTCCATATCCAGCAGCATGCAAATCCATACTAAGAAGAAATCTTAAGTGGCAGGAGGCTTTCACATACCTTAACCATAGCTGCATCCAACACCATCACCCTGTCTTTAAAAAAAAATCCCTTTTTCTTAAGGAAAAAACCAAAACCAAATGACGACCCAGCGGCACGGAATACAGGAACAGGTGCTGCAGCTCCAGAGGGATGCAGGTAGATCAGGCCTCTGCTTTTAGGGCTTGGCAGGATGTAATAGTGGTAGAAATATTTCAGTCCCAGGTTTGTAAATCGTGTTTTGAACGGCGGGAGAGAGGAGGGTTTGCCACCCATGGCCCTGCCACGTTGGACTGTACGAGCACCGGGGAGCGAGGGAGAAAACCTGGCATGCGGGGAGTTAAAACCGCTCCGCTTCCTTGGGAGCTGCAGAAATGGTGGAAAGTTCAAGAGCAGTTTCTTCGTTCTCTGAGGCTGGTGTGAGTGGGGAGCAGGTGGGTTGAGAGGAAGATCTGACCCCGTAACATCCCCCTAGAGCAGCAGCTCCACTGCCAGTCCCTGTGGGCCCCAGGTGCTCAATTTGCTGGCCTTTTGCATCGTCACTTACACCTGTGCAAAAATCCAGCCAGATCTTAGGACATGAGAGTTCCAAGAGCCCTTGGGGAGGCGATCTAGTCCGACCCCCTGCTCCGAGCAGGACTGGTCCGAGTGCTTTGCACACGTGTAAAATGACACGGTGAAGGGCATTGCTGACCCAGCCCCATTGAGATGAGCAGGATGTGGCCCCGGGCAGTGGAAGGGTGACGCGTAAAGGAGCTCTGATTGGTTCCCGGTGCTGTTCCAAAGCAGGAAAGGACGTTTTTCATTGGTGGCCGGTCACAGGCCAAATGCTGCTGTCAGGGCTTGGCCTTTCCGCTCGATTACAGCCGTGCTGTGCTATGGGGTGGGGGAACTCACCGGACAGAGGGTGCTCTTGTTGTGGTGACTCCTGGGCCTTCCTTCCTCTCAGTGGGCTGCAAGGTCGTCATAACCACACGGGTCTCCCGGGATCGCGTAGTTTTACAAACTGCGTTTGCCTGCCTAGAAAGCAGGGGGAGCTGACGGCACCGTAGCAGCGCTTGGATCGGACGCAGGGGGAGCGCCCGGCTCTCGCCGCCAGTGTCGTGTGCGATCAGCGCGCACCTCACGTCACGTGCCCTTGCTTCACGTGTGTGCGTAGGAAAAAACATGGATGGAACCCAGCAGATTGTGGCAGCCCTGCGCGTGGGCAACGGTGACCAAAATGTCTCGTTCACCCAATGGGCCACGTGCAGCCCATGGGCCACGCGCTACCCACCACTGCTTTAGACAAATGTCAAACCTCCCTGCTCTCCCTAGTCCGCATCCAAACACCGGCTTTAAAATTCCCCAGTGCGTTTGCAGTCCGCCGCAAACAGGGCTTGCCTGGTGGCGCATGCTGCCAATAGAGCGTTTTGCAGGGAGACCTTTAGCTGGCGTCCGTCGGCTGAGCATTACTGACCAGTGGCCCTGGGCTGAGTCACGTCAGCTAAGGATCTGCCCCGTCGGAGCGGCTGCATTTCAGGGGACGCCTCGAGCGGTCGGTGTTTCAGATGTGATCTGGAGAGCGCCCTGGGAAATGACGGGTAGCCACGGGAATTTCCAAGGGAGGGGAGAGAGAAGGTGATTTTAGCTGGAATTTGGGAAGAGCTGGGAGGCTCAGAGCTGAGCGATTCCTCCTCCCATCACGGGCGTGCCAAGGCATGAGCTCACTAATCCATGTTTCCCCGGCAGTAGCTGACAAGCGTTTCCCAGGCTGCTCAAAGCCTTTGCAATGCGGCTACAATCAAAGCATCTTGCTCTGCTGGCAGCTGGCTGGGTCTTGCATGCTAATCCGAGTCGGGCCTGGTCAGTGTTCGGAGAGGAGAGCCTCCTGTGGCCGGGATGTTGGAGAGTCAGTAGGAGTTGTTCTTCGCTTTAGTGCAGAGGTGGGGAACCGCCGGGTCCAGATGTGGGTTGCTTGGATCTGGCGCTTGAGGCTCTGGGCTCTTCACTACCCTGCACCCCCACTCTGCTTCTGCATGCTACCTCCCACCCAGCCCTTGCACCCGCAGCCCGCTCCTGCATCCTCCCTCCTGCCCAGACTCCGCACCCCAAGCCTGCTTCCCAGCAGCCCCCTCCCACACACTGAACTCCTCATTGGCCCTATCCCAGAGTGTGGGGAGGTGGGCACAAAATCTACTAGCCCAGGCCTCCTAGTCTGGTGTGTGAGGTGAATGTGATTTTTTTTTTCTTTTTGCTTCTCACTTTTGTGCTGCCCCACTGATTTTTTTCCTGTGGATCAGCAGCCCTGACCCAAAAAAGTTTCCCCACCCCTGAGGCCACATTGGGCCTGCACCCCAGGGTGCTACTAGAGGAAGCTGCTGTAGTCTAAGAGGTGTCCTTCAGACGCGCCTCAAAGTCCAGCCCCTACAAACTGCAGTCTTGGGGCTTGTTTGTCAGCCAGGGCATTGGCCTTGGCATCCTGACCAAATTCCAGCTCCAGGTGCTATGTTCCCCCTCCCTCAAGTCTTTAGCAATCACAATTGCATAGAATCCACCTTTGTCCCTTGCCCTGAGTTGCTGTTGTGTTGCTGTGCCGCGCCGTAACATAAGAGCTAGGGGTCGCCAAATGAAATGAATAGGTAGCAGGTTTAAAAAGAAAGTTTTTCTTCCCCCAGCGCACAGTCAACTTGTGGAACTCCTTGCCAGAGGATGTGGTGAAGACCAAGACTTTAACAGGGTTCAAGAAAGTACTAGATCAATTCATGGAGGTTAGGTCCATCAATGGCTCTTAGCCAGGATGGTGTCCCTGGCCTCTGTCAGAGGCTAGGAATGGTGACGGGAGAGGGATCGCTTGATGATTTCCTATTCTGTTCACTCCCTCTGGGGCACCGGGCATTGGCCACTGTCGGCAGACAGGAAACCGGGCTGGACGGACCTTTGGTCTGATCCAGTGTGGCCGTTCTTTTGTCAAACAGCTGCCGTGTTCCACCCCAGAGAGGGCCGCATGTGTATAGTTTGTAGAACTCGGGCGTTTGTAGGGAAGGAGGGGCTCAGTCTAGCTCCACATCTGCTCTGTGACTGTCACTGTCAGTTCAGTGTTCGGAGAGGAGATGGGGGGGCATTAATGCCGTGGGGCTGAGGTAAATGTGCAGCGTATGGGGGCCAGCCAGAGGCCTACCTAGAGTCCTCCCCCTCACGAGGGGCAGGATGCAGAAGGCAAGGGACCCGGGTGCTGGAGCGTGGGAGCCAGTGCAATGCCATTCATGCAGCCTGGGGGCTAGCAAGGACCCTCGTCATCACTCGCTCCTCGTTCCTCCTCGCTTTCGCGCCTTCCCCTCTCTCGGTCTCGTCCCCCTTCTCTGTGTCCCTCACAGACGGGCTTGCGAGGGACACACGACTTGTGGCTGGCAACCCCCCCACACAACCCCACACACAAACTGACCACGCCCTGGGAGGCTGTGGGTCCCCACGGCCCCGCCTGGGAGGCACGGCCGCCGGCCAGCACGGGAGGAGGCTCC